TTTAGTCCTGGTTTAGACCTGGTTTAGACCTGGTTTATTCCTGGTAGAGCCCGACCGATATATCGGTTGGCCGATATTATCGGCTGATATGGGCAACTTTAGGCATATCGGCCGATATGCTTGCTGATAGGGGCCGATATTTCAGGTGGGCATGTTATACCTCGTTATAAAGCTTAGACTCTCTACATTCTGTTCATTTAATCCAATTTACAGACAGATAAATGTCCTAATATGTGGCTCCACATCAGTATTTATCTACGGAGTCATTTGTCTGTGTGTGTCCGTACTGTCCCTGAACACACCACAGAGTCGCGTCACTCACGTGTGTTTGTTTACACCTGCAGACTTAGATCCAAACACTGAGATTATATTCTTTTTACGGACAATCGGTTTGAGTCTGGATTAAAAGGACATTCATTAGTGCAGATTTGTGATGTGAGGAGGAGCCTGTATGAGCGGTGAGTGTTGGAAATATGTCGACTCTGAAGCTAGTTTTTGTCATTTGTTATGGGTTAGCTGCTGTAGCTCCCGCACATAAACAGACTGTTTTCTATTGGTCTGTTCTAAAGTGACTATATTGGCCGTATATTTGCTACTGGACCTGCACTGATATGTAAATGAGCTGTGAATTATGACATTTGCGCATATAATTAATTACCGCGGCGCGCACGTATTTACGCCTAAAGGCTAATAGCGCTAGTTTCTTTACTAGTTATGGGTCCGTCGCGAACGAAATGACTCTTAGAACCGGCTCTTTGAAGGGAACGACGGGAGCCTGATCCTTATTGGGAGCCGTGTTTTCTCTTTCTCTCACTTTTTTTCTCTTCACGCCGCGTGCAGATTCGTGGTTTGACAGCGGCAGCGGCTAAAAACGAAACTTTGAGAAATTTGCGTGTACGTAGGATTAAAAAACAAAAAACCGAGCATATTTGACTGTAGTTTAGCATAAAATAAATAAGTCCCGGTTTAGTCCTTTTTCAGTCCTGGTTTAGACCTGGTTCAGTCCTGATTCAGTCCTGGTTTAGACGTGCTTTAGTCCTGCTTGCAACAAAACAATCTGAAGAGCCACTTGGGAGCCAAAAGAACCAGCAGCTTTTAGTGAGCCGAGCCAAAAGAGCCGGTTCTCTAAAAAGAACTGGAATACCCATCACTAGTGTCTAGAATGTGATGCAAAAATGCCATTAAGTCAACCTACTGTCTGTAAATATGATGTAAAGAGGCAGAATAACAATACATGTTGCCTAAATAAACCCAATTTAAAATCCACCAGAGCCAAACCTAAGTTTTTTTTAAACAATTCAACATTTACAGTGAATTTTTACATCACTAAATATATCGGTGATTATATCGGCTATCGGCAGCTCCAACTTCCATTATATTGGTTTCATATCGGCCACAGCAAAATCCATATCGGTCGGGCTCTAATTCCTGGTTTAGTCCTGGTTTAGACCTGGTTTAGACCTGGTTTAGTCCTGGTTTAGTCCTGGTTTAGTCCTGGTTTAGACCTGGTTTAGTCCTGGTTTAGTCCTAGTTTAGACCTGGTTTAGACCTGGTTTAGTCCTGGTTTAGACCTGGTTTAGTCCTGGTTTAGTCCTGGTTTAGTCTTGGTTTAGTCCTGGTTTAGTCTTGGTTTAGTCCTGGTTTTGCACTGTCTCAGATCTGGTTGTGGGTTTTGACCCAGTTTTGACCCCATTTTGACCTGGTTCTGCTCTGTCTCAGATCTACTGGTCGTGGGTGGAGAGTAAGAACTTTGTGGAGGTGACACGGCGCTGGTTTGCCGATCACATGCCATTTCCTCTGAGTTTGGTGTTACCAGGACGAATGCACCGACAGCAGAATGAGAGACTGAGGCTCTTGAGAGGAGAGGACCTGCTGGAGCCTGAGGAGAACCTAGAGAAGGAGGTGAGACCTGAGAGAAGTCACAATTACATAGAGACACTACCATAGACTTCATATATAAATGGACATAGCTAATCCATCGACTCTGGGTTCAGTTCACTTTGTGTGTAAAAAGTGTGGTGCCTCTCTTTGTACCTGCTGCTGTCAGGCTCCTCATACTGACCTGAGAATGTTGGTTTGAACCTGCTGTATGTGATCCTGGGGTTTTTATTTCACCATTTGGTCTAAATCAAGATGTGAACATTAACAGACCTGAACCAGGACTACACCAGAGACTAATCCTGAGCTAAATCCAGTCTCATATAGGAGGATTAAGTCTGAATGAACCATGTCTAAAACAGGTCCATGACTGGATTAACTCACCTCAAGAACCTGAGATTCTTTGCACACTCTTTTGAAGTGAGTTTGTTAAATACCTCCAAACTTCTCATTTTTGAGCTCAGGTCTTCGTAGTTTAGTGCCGGTTTAGTCCTGGTTAATCATGGTTAATCCTGATTTACATTCGTATTCTTGTAGTATTTCAGAGCAATCCGGCACAAATTGGGCCCTACCCTCTGAAACCAGCTCCGGCTTCTGCTCTGGAAAAACCTCAGACTGAGAGAGTTCCACTGAGTCAGACTTTCCACAGACCTGCTCTCATAAGTCTGGTTCAGTGTGAAAGTTCTCAAGATCTGATCAGCACAAAGATCTGTACCTCCTCTGCACCTCCTCTACACCTCCTCTACTCCCCCTCTACTCCCTCTGTACCTCCTCCAAAATTTGTCCAGATTAGTCCTGGTTTAGTCCTGTTTTAGTCCTACTTTAGTCCTGGTTTAATCCTGGTTTAGTCCTACTTTAGACATAGTTTAGACCTGGTTTAGACCTCCACTCCCTCTGCACCTCCTCCTCACCTCCTTCTCCTCTCCCTCTGCCCCTCTTCCTTCACTTCAGTGTCTCTGGGTTAGACCTCCAGGAGTAGATCCAGGGTTAGGACTCGTGCTGGAGGATACCAGCTCATGACCTTCTCTAATGTGTGCAGCAGTTACAGAACCCTGCTGCTGTGAGGTCTCAGTGTTTCCCCCTTCCATTCTCTCTGTATTTTCTCAGTTGTTCCGGGACGCGGCGGAGTGCATGAACCTTCTTTCGCAGAGACTCGGACAACACAAATTTTTCTTCGGAGAATCGTACGTTTTATTTAGTTTATTTAAAATCACAAATATTTGCATCAGCTCTGATTTGAACCGTTTTCACTCTCTCAACTCTTCCTCCTCTCCCCCTCTTCTGTACTCTTTTTTTCTTCTCCCCTTCCCCTCCATTATGTGTCCCCTCTCCATGTCCTCTCCTCCCCTCTCTTTCTCTCACACTCTTCTCTCTCCTCTGACAACTCATCTCTCTGTTCTTGTTCTCTCTCTTCATTCTCTCTCTTCTCGTCTCTCTCCTGTCCCTCTTTCCTCTCTCTCTGCTTCAGTCCCTGTTCTCTGGATGCGTTTGTTTTCGGACACTTGGCTCCGGTTTTAAAGATCAAATTCCCAAACTCCAAACTCCAGCAGCACCTTCAGAGTCTGGAGAACCTGAGCGGCTTCTGCTCCAACATCCTGCAGCTCTACTTCCCCCGGACAGGAACAGGTATGAGCCCCGTCCCCCAAAATGGGTACCAGACACACCCCCACTACAAGCCCCGCCCCTAAACAGGTACCAGACATGCCCCCAAAACAAGCCCTGCCCCCCAAACAGGTACCAGACACACACCCATAACAAGCCCCACCCCCAAAACAGGTACCAGACACGCCCCCACAACAAGCCCCGCCCCCAAAACAGGTACCAGACACACCCCCACAACAAGCCCCACCCTCATAACACACTGGTATGATCGAGCCAAACCTCCACGTCAAAGCCTGACGGTGGAGGCTGATGGTGCAGAGCGGCTGTGGCTACAGTGATAACTTAACACCACAGAGTGTGGAGTGAATGAAAAATGCACAGAACTGTAAAATGACTGAGCATCTGGAAAAGCGCTGTATAAGACTAATGCAGTATTATTATATTATAAATATATTATATTTTATTGCTACAAAAAAGTACAAAAACCATACATTCGTACAATGAGTATGGTCACCGCTCCACAGATCTGAGTTGTAAACAGGTCTGGAGGTGCCACATGCTTGTCTCCATGGAGACAGTCAAGTTTAATGCCTTACTGTGGTGTAAAGCCTTCACCAGAAGAACTGACATGGTGTATCTTTAGAGGGTTTAAACTCTTCTCTGATCTAGAGGCAGAATTGTGTAATAGAGGATCTTAAAGTGACATCAGACCTAAGTGCTGATTATGTGATTAAGTGTTTACAACTAAAAGAAGCAACAATTTAGAATTTCAAGGGATCAAACTTCAGCCAGTAGTAGCAGTATTTATGTCAGACCTGGGCATTGCTCCAGGACCACATTTAGTCAGAACATAAACTTCCCAGTCTGAGCAGCTCGTCACAACAATGAGATTTACTGCTTTTTATAAAGAAATACAATTAATATTATGCAGAATTGAGTTAAGCATTTTAGCTCCACAATATTTTCTGTTTCTCATGTGGCCCCATGGAAAAAAAGAATTGCCTACCCCTGATTTCTGTAGTATCTTATTCATAGTAGTTCTAGTATTTGACATATTTGTGTTGTATGCTGTCCTTAGACCCACCCCCTCGCTCAGCGCCTGCCGCTTCAGATGATGGGGACAACGTTCCTCACAAACGCAGGAAGCAGCTGCTGTCGGCTCTGGTGGCAGTGGGAGCCATGTTGAGTTATGCAGTTCTCACGGGGCTCCTGTCTATCAGTCTGCACCAGAGGGGGGCGCTAGAGGAGCCGCCTGACGAAGAGCCGGAGGAGCCAGAGACACACGAGCAAGAGCATGAGCGATAAACCTCAAAAGGAACCAAAAATATCACAAATATATAAATGTCATGTTCTCATGATTAAAGCTACTGTGGACTCCTGAGCCGAGCTCTTTCCTCATGTTAAAGCAGACCCACCTTTTCAGAGTCTGAACCATGTTCTCGTTGTTTCCTTCTCGTTAACCCTCTGAAGTTGTATTTGGAGTGAACTGTGCTTGTTTGAGTCATCTTTAATCACTTATTTTCAAGACGCCATTTTGCCCATTTACCCCCTTTTTCAGCTCCACTGGTGCAGGCCCACTGTGACGTCCACACATCCTTCTCCAGTTTGAGTTTCTTAATGGGTGATACATGATTTGGCAGTGTTGTGCAGTCATAATGGTACAAATGAAAAAAAAAAAAAAAAAAAATCATCTGCTTGCTAGTCTGATGTGCAGCTGTCCTATTTCCAAATGCAGACATTATTTTAAGTTAGAACATGTGAAATACTGATCCCAAGATGAGCACATTTAAAAGGGAATTAAAGCCACAAGAATGCAGAGTCCCCTGCTGCAATGACGAGGGAAACAGCTTAAATCAGGCTAATTTTGTTGGTGGGTAGCTGCTGAGGAGGAGAATCCAGTGGAGTTAAAGCCCCAGTGTGGAACGTTTCATCACATTAGGGTTACAGAGAGGAAAGATAAATCGAATATAAGATAAGCTCAAGTGTTACGTGACACGATGTGATAGTGTTAATATTACACAACAATAGCATATTAACACATGAGATGGCGTCATTCACTCGCAGCATCTGGACTCACTTTTAGAACCACCAGTGTCTTGACGGCACGGGCTCCTCACGCTTGTTTCACGAGGCTTCAAGCTGCGTCAGGCCCGGGGGCGCTGGAATCGAACCCGCACCCGGTCAGAGATCTGGGTCTTGGTTTATTAAGCGTGCGCACGTATGAAGTGTTACATGCGTGAATATTTGCATAAAGTTTGAGATCAATAAAAAGACAACTTGACGTGGAAATGGGTGAACCGGTCCAAAAACGTGAAAACACCGAACTCTTGTCCGTCTCTCATGCGGAATTGCTGCGTAAAACCAAGATCGGACCAGACTGTTCACTCTCAATATTAATGTTTTACTGCGGGTTTTGAAAGACACGTGCCAGGTGTGTGCGTAAACTTCACCAAGACTAAAACAGGACTGAACTAATTAAACTATCTAAACCAGGACTAGAACAGAAGTAGACCAGGACAGGACTAAAAAAAAAAAAAAAGACTAAACCCGGGACTAAACACAGGACTGAACACTGTCTGAACCAGGGCCTGGAGTGTGGGCGCGTGCCTAATTTTCCAGCTGAGGCGCGTGCGCGTGGTCCCCTCCTCCGCTGGTCCTCCCCCGGTGCCGTGCGCTTGTCTGCTCTACTCGGGGTTTCCTCCATCGGAACCTCTCAGACTCACCGCAGAGTCCGCTCTTCGGTGCTGCTCTCCGGGTCACATCCAGCGGAGCTCCTCCACCCCTCCCCGGACTTTACGCACTCTCACCCCGGGACTTTGTGAACTTTTCCTCTGTGTATATCCATTCCTCTCCTTCTCCGGAGCTCCTCGCTCTTCCACGCAGATCCAAAGCTTAATAGTCCGGTCCGCTTCCTCTGCTCTTCTGGAGGTCTTCTGGAGTTCTTCTGGAGGTCTTCTGGAGGTCTTCAGGGATGGGCTGGAGGCTCGTGCTCCTGGTGTCGGCGCTGATCTCGGGGCTGGGGGTGCACGGGATCACGGATGGAGCGGACATCCAAGGTAAACTAGTCAAATGAGTCATAGTCACTTTTAGAACTTGTCACTAAAAGTTGTGTGTGTCTCACTGTGGTTCGGTTCCGTTCGTTTCCGCCGTTACCGTCCGTGGGTCACGTGACTTACTGGTTTCACGGGGATTTGTCTTGTGGTGCGACGAATGGAAGTGTCATCTTCTGAGTGAATCAGCGCGCTGTAAAAGCGCATCTCAGCTCATCAGGGAATGTTTAATCTTCATATGGACCTGATTCAGATTTAGTCCAGGCTTAGACCTGCTTCAGTCCTGGTTTAGACCTTGTTTGTCCTGGTTTAGACCTTGTTTGTCCTGGTTTAGACCCAGTTTTGCTCATGTTTCAGCCCGTGGAGCTGCGCAGAGGGGGCCGCGCTGACCGCTAGTTTCCACTCTGCAGTAAAGGTTTCACTGCTGCGGAGGAATGGGGCTCCTCTGGAGAATGCGCGTGCGTGCGAGTGGTGCGCGCGCATGTGTGTGCGCGTGCACCATGTGTGTTCTGCGCGTACGAGTGTTTATGTTGCTCGTTGCCATGGAAACGCGCACACACAGAAGGAGGAAGTTCAAGAAACACATTACACAATAAATTACAGCTGACACAGGCACTTCCACTGCACACCAGGTCCAGAACCAGGACTAATCCTGGACCGGATCCAGAACCAGGACTAATACTGGACCGGGTCCAGAACCAGGACTAATCCTGGACCGGGTCCAGAACCAGGACTAATCCTGGACCAGGTCCAGAACCAGGACTAATCCTGGACCGGATCCAGAACCAGGACTAATCCTGGACCGGGTCCAGAACCAGGACTAATCCTGGACCGGGTCCAGAACCAGGACTAATACTGGACCGGGTCCAGAACCAGGACTAATCCTGGACCGGATCCAGAACCAGGACTAATCCTGAACCGGGTTTAGAACCAGGACTAATCCTGGACCGGGTCTAGAACCAGGACTAATCCTGGACCGGGTCCAGAACCAGGACTAATACTGGACCGGGTCTAGAACCAGAACTAATCCTGGACCGGGTCTAGAACCAGAACTAATCCTGGACCAGGTTTAGAACCAGGTTTAGTCCTGGACCAGGTTTAGAACCAGGTTAAGTCCTGGGACTAGGACTAATCCTGAACCAGACCCAGGATCAGTTCCAGTGACAGCTCCTTGGTGTGTTGGTTTTCAGGTAAGAGTTCAGTCAGTGCTTTGAGTTTTGAGGGACATCAGTCCAGACCCAGGTGGAGTCCTGGTTCACAGCTGATGCAGAGCTGGTTCTTTCTCTTGCAGTGATCGATGTGCTGGCGCTGCAGGAGGCGAGGCAGTCGGCAGCAGCGGTGGAGAAGTTGTGGGCAGGGCTGAGCATGCTCAGTGACGTCTACCTCGTGTCAACTCTGAAGCTGCCGCCAAAACTGGGCGGAGTTTTGTTTGGCCTCTACGACAAACAGGACCACAGCAAGATCCTGGAGGTGGCGCTCATGGGCAAGATCAACAAAGGTATGAGCTGACCGGATGGGAGGGAGGAGGGGCCAGAGCATCCTCCCCTCAGTGGTCACTGGACCTATTCCTCACCTTGCTTCTCTCCTCAGTGTCCTAGTCCTGGTTTAGTCTTGATTCAGCCCTCTAACTGCCTCTCCCCTAAATCAGTGCTGGTGGTTTAGTCCTGGTTCAGTCCTGGTTTAGTCCAGGTCTAATTCTGGCTCAGTCCTGGTTCAGTGCTGTTCTTCTCTTCTCAGTGCTGGTGAGGTATGTTCGTGCTGATGGTCGGCTGCACACGCTGAACCTTCAGAACGCGCCGCTGGCTGATGGGCGGAGCCACAGCCTGGTGCTGCGATTGGGAGGTCTGCGGCGCCAGAGCCTCAGCGCTGAGCTGTATGTTGACTGCCGATTGGCCGATTCTGCCTCATCACTTCCTGCTCTGGGGAACCTGCCCGAAGACAGTGAGACGGTGGATGTCAGGCATGGACAGAAGACTTACGCACGAGTCCAGGTAATGTAGTCTGAATCGGAATCTGAACCAGGACTGAACCAGGGCTGAACCAGTTCTCTCTGCCTACACAGTAGTTTTTTCCTCTATCTCTTTTTCTTTTTTTACAGGGTTCAGTGCAGTTCTTGAGTCTGGTGCTAGGGGGCAGTGTGGCCAAAGCGGGCGCTCTGGCTGATTGTCCGTTCCAGGATTCGTCGAATGCCGTCAGCAGTGACGTCGGTGCCATCCTCGGTCAGTGACACTGCCCTCTGCTGATGCACATTTGTGGGTGAAGCCCACACACCTTCACCTGGTTCAGATCAGCACAGCTCTGACTTTGACCTTACTATTGGTCTAAACCTGATCTAAACCTGGTCTAAACCTGATCTAAACCTGGTCTAAACCTGATCTAAACCTGGACTATTTTAGAAAATTCATTTTGTCGAGGGGTCCAAGGTAGAATAGTCCACAAGGGAAATGACTTGGACACGGCAACTCACACATCACTATATATTATAATAACACAGAGTAAAAACATATGTAATACCAATCTCTTGACTTTTTATTATAATCAGTTAAGACATAAATTATATAAATGTATGTACAGGACGTAAAATATTGTATTATAAATACAGTATAATACAGTTATATACAAGAGGTCATAAGGACAGTACAAAGATGATCATCTTTGACAGAAAGGTCACAGGTCAGAGGTCATCTGGACACAGTCAATCAAAGGGTCATATAACATTATTTTCAGATCTCTGTCATAATGTAGTTATATCATCACAAACAGAGAAGTTGTTTTGTTTCCTTCACACATGTTTAACACACAAACCCTGCACATTTAATCTGAGTTCTTCTCTCAAACTGAAAACGTTCTATTCCAACATTTGGTAATACAGTTAGTGACTCCACTGTGTTTTTAAACTCCATATACCAAGATAAAGATAGATAGATAGAATTTTCAGCAGCAGGAACAATCAATGTAAATGAATAAAGGTAGCTGTTGAAAACTACCACTGCATAACATCACAAGATGGAACCGAGCATTTTGAGTTTTGGAGGTGTAGACAGACTAATAATAAAGTGTTACTCAAATGTGTGAATGAAACAAAACACAGCTCCAGGTCATTTTTTGAGGAGGGAACGACATTCTAACATGGCTTAAAGAGTCACTTTAATATTCAATTCTTTAAGTTATGTTAAAGAAGTCCTGCCCACAGAGGGAGGAGTTTTCAAGTGAAACGGCCCCATCTTCATCTGCAGCTGACCTCACGATCTGTCCTCATGCCCCTAGTGTGATTTACCTGACTCACCCTCACCACGTCTTTTCAGGAGACCATCTGAAGGCTCTCATCGGTCAGCTCATTATCTTCAACCAGGTGCTCGGAGAACTGAGACAGGACATCCGAGAACAGGTGAGACCAAGAACCAGACAGACAGGACAGGGGGAGAGACAGGTGAGGGAGACAGGGGAGGGGAACGAGACAGGTGAGGAGACAGAGGTAGGTGAGGAGACAGAGGCAGGTGAGGGAGACAGGTGAGGGGGAGAGACAGCTGAGGAGAAGGGAGACAGGTGAGAGAGACAGGTGAGAGACAGGTGAGGGAGACAGGTGAGGGAGACAGGTGAGGGAGACAGGCGAGGGGAGGGAGACAGGTGAGGGGGAGAGACAGGTGAGGAGAGGGAAACAGGTGAGAGAGACAGGTGAGGGAGACAGGTGAGGTGAGGGAGACAGGTGAGGGAGACAGGTGAGAAGAGGGAGACAGGTGAGGGAGACAGGGGAGGGGAGGGAGACAGGTGAGGAGAGGGAGACAGGGGAGAGGAGGGAGACAGGTGAGAAGAGGGAGACAGGTGAGGGAGACAGGTGAGAAGAGGGAGACAGGTGAGGGAGACAGGTGAGAAGAGGGAGACAGGTGAGGGAGACAGGGGAGGGGAGGGAGACAGGTGAGGGAGACAGGTGAGAAGAGGGAGACAGGTGAGGGAGACAGGGGAGGAGACAGGTGAGGAGGAACAGGTGAGAAGAGGGAGACAGGTGAGGGAGACAGGGGAGGAGACAGGTGAGGAGACAGGTGAGGAGAGGGAGACAGGGGAGAGGAGGGAGACAGGGGAGGAGACAGGTGAGGAGAGGGAGACAGGTGAGGGAGACAGGGGAGGAGACAGGTGAGGAGACAGGTGAGGAGAGGGAGACAGGGGAGAGGAGGGAGACAGGGGAGGAGACAGGTGAGGAGAGGGAGACAGGTGAGGGAGACAGGGGAGGAGACAGGTGAGGAGAGGGAGACAGTGGAATTCTGACTGAATCTTGCTTTTGTTTCAGGTGAAAGAAATGTCTCTGATACGAAACACCATCCTAGAGTGTCAGGTTTGTGGTGAGTCTGAAGCAGAACTGGACCAGGACTAAATCAGGACTGAACCACGTCTAACCCGTGTTCTCTCTGGTTTGCAGGTTTCCATGAGCCGCGCTCGCGCTGCTCTCCTAACCCCTGCTTTAAGGGCGTGGCCTGTGTGGAGAGTTTACAGTTCCCAGGATTCACCTGTGGTCCGTGTCCCACCGGGTTTGAAGGCAACGGGACACACTGCGAGGACGTGGACGAGGTCTGGACTCTCAATGCACAACTAAACATCTCCTACCTTTTGTCTCTGATCTGATCGCTGATGTTTGGTCTCCTCTGGTCTCTGGACTCTGGTCTCTGCTCTGATCTGGTCTCTGCTCTGATCTGGTCTCTGCTCTGGACTCTGATCTGGACTCTGATCTGGTCTCTGGTCTGATTTCTGATCTGGTCTCTGATCTGGTCTCTGATCTGGTCTCTGGTCTGGTCTCTGGTCTGGTTTCTGATCTGGTCTCTGATCTGGTCTCTGATCTGGTCTCTGGTCTGGTTTCTGGTCTGGTTTCTGGTCTGGTTTCTGGTCTGGTCTCTGGTCTGGTCTCTGATCTGGTCTCTGGTCTGGTTTCTGGTCTGGTCTCTGATCTGGTCTCTGGTCTGGTCTCTGATCTGTTTTCTGGTCTGGTCTCTGGTCTAACCCTCTCTCTGTGTGATCTCAGTGCTCTGTGTGGCCGTGTCATGACCCCGCCCTCTGCATAAACACGGTGGGGGGATTCTCGTGTGGTCCCTGTCCCTCCGGCCTGTGGGGGGCGCCCGTGAGTGGTACCGGCCTCAGCTTCGCCAAGACCCACAGACAGGTACAAATAAGTCCAGACTGGTTATTATCTGACTCCTTCGCCAGGTTGGTCCTGGTTTGATCCTGGCCTGGTCCTGGTCTGGTTCTGGTCTGGTCCTGGTCCTGGTCTGGTCCTGGTCTGGTCCAGTCCTGGCCTGGCCTGGTCCTGATCTGGTCCTGGTCTGGTCCTGGTCTGGTCCTGGTCCGGTCCTGGCCTGGTCCTGCTCTGGTCCTGGTCCTGGTCCTGGTCCGGTCCAGGCCTGGTCCTGGTCTGGTCCTGCTCTGGTCCTGGCCTGGTCCTGGTCTGGTCCTGCTCTGGTCCTGGTCTGGTTCTGGTCTGGTCCTGGTCCTGGTCTGGTCCTGGTCTGGTCCAGTCCTGGCCTGGCCTGGTCCTGATCTGGTCCTGGTCTGGTCCTGGTCTGGTCCTGGCCTGGTCCTGGTCCTGGTCCGGTCCTGGCCTGGTCCTGCTCTGGTCCTGGTCCTGGTCCGGTCCTGGCCTGGTCCTGGTCTGGTCCTGCTCTGGTCCTGGTCTGGTCCTGGTCTGGTCCTGGTCTTGGTCTGGTCCTGGCCTGGTCCTGGTCTGGTCCTGGTCCTGGTCTGGTCCTGCTCTGGTCCTGGCCTGGTCCTGGTCTGGTCCTGCTCTGGTCCTGGTCTAGTCCTGGCCTGGTCCTGGTCTGGTCCTGGTCTGGTCCTGGTACCAGACGTGATATCACACAGACAGATGAATTCTCTGATATTTGTAAGTTCACAAACTCTTGAGAATCCATCTTGGCTCCTTCTGGTGGGACTCTCCCGCTGGTGGGTGGACCAATGACAGAACAGCATTTAAAAAAAATCAAGGTTCAGATAAGCTTGATTAGAACCCTGCAGGTTTCAGTGGCAAAAGTTTCCTGGATATTGACTGGATTTGTGTTTTCAGCAGTATTGAACACATTACTTTGAAAAAGTAATTAGTTCTAGTTACTAGTTACTTTTCCCAAAAAGTAACTGAGTTTGTAACTGAGTTACTCAACATAAAAGAAACTAGTTACCAGGAAAAGTAACTATTACATCACTTTTTTTAAAGGGAGCACTCACACTAGAAGCGTGCTGTGATTGCTGAGAGTTCTGTGGCCGGACTCACACCTGCACGTTTGGTTTTTCTTAAGAAGCTTCACAGTCTGAACATTCAGTTGTGAAGAAAGCACCTGAACAGTTTTGGGCAACATCTTTGCTACTTGAGTGAAGAAATAGTTGTCCTGACATTCTTCCACTCCAGTGTGACAGAAGAACAGAAGAATCTAATGATGCTTCACAATATAATGGAAAAGGTTCAGAGGTTCCACCAACATGACGTGATGCTCTTAATCAAGCAGATTATGAAGGAGCAGATCAGGGATTTTGTCTCCACCAGCACCATGTGTTTCTTTGAAGCTCTTCTGCAGCAGCCTGGGCTGATGATGCAGACTTTGAGAAGCTGCTCAAACGGTGCATTCCAGGAAAGTGTCAGTGATGTTGTTGAAACAAAGTGAAGCTTATTTAAGATTTCAGATGTAACTGAACAAAGACTGAAGATCAGAAACAGGATCTACTGCAGAAGTCAAAGACACAAGAGCATCTTTAGTGACAAAGCCAAAAAAGCCACAGTGGAGCTGGATTTTCTAAATCACCTTTATGCAAGTTTCAGTGTTTTAAAATGACTAATTATTGGAATACTTATTTACTTGGTTCTGTGTAGTAGTTTAGGCCCTATAGGGCAAGTGTCTCGAGCAACCTCTAAATATTCATTAATTTGAATAAAATTCAAACCCAAATGTTTTGGTCAAACATGAAACCAAATGCAGGGTTCTGATCTAGAGAATCTAAAAAAAAAAAAAATGTGGACAGCAGGTCTGTGTCAGGGCAGATTGAGGAGAGGAAGAGCCAAAAGTGTCTGGTTCTGATCCTTTTCTGTTTCAGGAGTGTTCTGACATCGATGAGTGTGTGGACCTGCCCGACGCCTGTACTCCCAACTCTGTGTGCATCAACACTGTGGTCAGTACAACAACAAATACTACTACTACTGCTACTACTACTACTACTATTGCTTCTAATAATTCTACTGCTACAGGGGTTTCAGATGACATCACAACATTTTACAGATATTCTATAGATTTGTGCTGTAAACTGTCCTGGAACTCGTTCTTTCCACTTCAGGGTTCGTACAAATGTGGTGGCTGTAGACCCGGTTTCCGTGGGAACCAGACCTCAGGATGTTTTGCACGAAAGTCCTGTTCCGGTCTGACCTTTAACCCCTGTGACGCCAACGCCCACTGCACCCTGGAGCGCAGCGGAGAGGTCACCTGCACGGTAAATTCCAGATCAGGGATAGACCTGATTTAGATCTGGTTCAGTCCTGGTTCAGTCCTGGTTCAGTCCTGGTTCAGTGCTGGTCTCTGTGTTGCAGTGTAATGTAGGCTGGGCGGGGAATGGAAACACGTGTGGACTGGACACAGACATCGACGGTTTTCCCGATCGTTCTCTTCCCTGTGAGGACACGCACCGCCACTGCAGACAGGTGAGAGCCAATCAGAGGAGAGAGGGTGTCTAAATGAGCCAATCAGAGCCACTGCAGACAGGTGAGAGCCAATCAGAAAAGCGAGGAGCTTTAAATGAAACGATCAAAGGAGGACCAGGGTTTAAACGGAACAATCACAGCATCTGCAGACAGGTCCATTTAGTATGTAGTTATTGTAATCGTGTATGACCTGCGGGAGCATCACAGATGACCTGTGTGTTTCCAGGACAACTGCGTCCTGACCCCGAACAGCGGTCAGGAGGACGCCGACGGGGACGGGATCGGAGACCAGTGCGACGAGGACGCAGACGGAGACGGTATCAAGAACGTCGAGGTACAAGGCTCATGTGGACTATGGTCACAGTCACAGGGAAATCCCAGAGGCTAAACGCCCAAAGTCAATCACTAGTACTGACCTCTGCACACTGCCCTCTGCACACTGCCCTCTGCACACTGCCCTCTGCACACTGACCTATGCGCACTGACCTATGCACACTGCCCTCTGCACACTGCCCTCTGCACACTGCCCTCTGCACACTGACCTATGCACACTGACCTATGCACACTGACCTCTGCACACTGACCTCTGCACACTGTAATTGTGATGACACTAACAAACCTCACTGTCTCCTGCCCTCTGCCCTCTGACCTCTGCTCTCTGACCTCTGACCTCAGGATAACTGCCGCCTCGTCCCAAACAAAGACCAGCAGAATTCGGACTCGGACTCGTTTGGGGACTCGTGCGATAACTGTCCCACAGTCCCAAACCCAGATCAGAAAGACACGGACTCCAATGGACAGGGAGACGCCTGCGACCAGGACATTGATGGGGACGGTAAGCACCTGTCATGCACCTGTTACACCTGTACCACCTGTCATACACCTGATGACGCCTTCAGTTCAATTCAATTCAATTTCCTTTATTGTCATTGTCATATAAAATAACAATGAAATTACGTTAGAGCCTCATACAAACAGCATAGTATTTTAAAAGTGCATAATAGTGTAGAGCACCCCCCTATGACACCATCACATAAACATTACACCCACTATGTGAACATTAGAATACAGAACTAGTAATATCAGTGCAGCAGCAAAGGGACAGATCAACAAACCACAACAACTAAAAAAACTGGGACGTCAGGGACAGAGGGCAGTCAACCTGCAATGTGTATTTAACTGTATTTATGATGCAGCAGTGCAAAAGTCCAGTTCACAGTTATTGTATTGTATTGTGTTGTGTTGTGTTGTGTTGTATTGTGTTGTGTGTTGTGTTGTGTTGTGTTTGTGTTTGTGTTGTGTTGTGTTGTATTGTATTGTATTGTGTTGTGTTGTGTTGTATTGTTGTGTTGTGTTGTATTGTATGGTGTTGTGTTGTGTTGTATTGTATGGTGTTGTGTTGTGTTGTATTGTATTGTATTGTATTGTGTTGTGTTGTGTTGTGTTGTGTGTGTTGTGTTGTGTTGTGTTGTGTTGTGTTGTTTGTGTTGTTTGTATTGTATTGTATTGTATTGTGTTGTATTGTATTGTATTGTATTGTGTTGTATTGTATTGTATTGTGTTGTGTTGTGTTGTGTTGTGTTGTATGGTGTTGTGTTGTGTTGTATTGTATTGTGTTGTGTTGTGTTGTGTTGTGTTGTGTTGTGTTGTGTTGTGTTGTGTTGTATTGTGTTGTGTTGTATGGTGTTGTGTTGTGTTGTGTTGTTGTATTGTATTGTGTTGTGTTGTGTTGTATTGTGTTGTGTTGTGTTGTATGGTGTTGTGTTGTATTGTATGGTGTTGTGTTGTGTTGTATTGTGTTGTGTTGTGTTGTATTGTGTTGTGTTGTGTTGTGTTGTATTGTGTTGTGTTGTGTTGTGTTGTATTGTATGGTGTTGTGTTGTGTTGTATTGTGTTGTGTTGTGTTGTATTGTATTGTATTGTATTGTGTTGTGTTGTGTTGTGTTTGTGTGTATTGTATGTGTTTGTGTTGTATGTGTTGTGTTGTGTTGTATTGTATGGTGTTGTGTTGTGTTTGTATGTGTGTGTTGTGTGTTGTGTGTTGTGTTGTGTTGTATTGTATGTTGTTGTTGTGTTTTGTGTTGTATTGTATGGTGTTGTGTGTGTTGTATGTGTGTTGTGTTGTGTTGTATGGTGTTGTGTTGTGTTGTATGGTGTTGTGTTGTATGGTGTTGTGTTGTGTTGTATTGTATGGTGTTGTGTTGTGTTGTATGGTGTTGTGTTGTGTTGTATGGTGTTGTGTTGTATGGTGTTGTGTTGTGTTGTATTGTATGGTGTTGTGTTGTCTGGTGTTGGTCTCGCAGGATGTTGCACACTCTCTTCAGACAGCGGGTAGTGGAGATGGTACTAATCTCGGGAAGACTGGTCCCAATGATTTTCCCCGCTGTTTTTACCACCCTCTGGAGTGAGAGGTGACCGGCTTCAGGGCAGCTGGAGAACCACACAAGGCGATGGCACAGTTGTAGAAGTTCACCATCAGCTGGTTTGGGATCCTGGTGCTCCTCAGTTGCCTCAGGTAGTAGAGCCATCGCTGAGACACCTGAGCAATGCAGTCATGTGGCCTCCAGCGTGTCCATGCAGGGCCACGCGAGGACCACAGGGGGGGCCACGCGAGGACCACAGGGGGGGCCACGCGAGGACCACAGGGGGGGCCACGCGAGGACCACAGGGGGGCCACGCGAGGACCACAGGGGGGCCACGCGGGCCACAGGGGGGGCACAGGGGGGCCACGCGAGGACCACAGCGGGGCCACGCGAGGACCACAGCGGGGCCACGCGAGGACCACAGCGGGGCCACACGAGGAACACGAGGGGGCCACAGGGGGTCCAGAGGGGGGCTCTAGTGGAAAGTGCTCCTGTGTGACAGCAGTGTGTGAAAGGTGGTGGTCGGGGCAGGTGTGGCCACAGAACGCTCTCACCAGCACCAGAGTGACGAGTGATGAATAGAACAGAAAGCCTTTATTGTCATTATTCAGTATAATGACATTCAGAGCTGCTCGGTCAAAGTGCAAGAATTAAACAAAATAATAAAACAAATGAATAGTTGAAGAAGAATGGAAGACCTCTGAAAGACCATGTTTTGTTTTTCAAACACTGTCACAGACAACCACACATGCCTCTGTCTCTGTCTCTCTGTCTGCCTCTGTCTCTCTGATTCAGACCTGGTTCGGACCTGGTTCAGTTCTGGTTCTTTTGTCTTTCAGGGATCCCTAACGTTCTGGATAACTGTCCAAAAGTTCCAAACCCAATGCAGACGGACCGAGACCGAGACGGAGTGGGAGACGCCTGTGACAGCTGCCCAGAGCTCAGCAACCCCATGCAGGTAAACAAACAAACAGCCCCATGCAGGTAAACAAACAAACAAACAGCCCCATGACTGACAAGGAGAGAGGAGGAGAGAGACAAGGAGAGAGAGAGAAAGAGAGAGAGACTAGGATAGAGGAAAGAAGAGGAGAGGAGAGGAGGAGAGAGGAAAGAAGAGGAGAGGAGAGGAGAGGAGGAGAGAGGAAGAGAGGAGAGAGGAAGAGCAAATAATGATCCACACATGCTGTTGGTGTTTTTCAGGACGATGTGGACAGTGATCTGGTGGGAGACGTCTGCGATACAAACCAAGACACGTGAGACTCCAAGTCCAACTCTAATTCTGCAGAACTACTGATACTTTGCAGCTGATCTTATTGTTCCCTGGGGGTGTGACGCTAACTGTAGACACTGCACTGTCTGAAGTTCTGTTACCCACGTTAGACTTGAATCTGAGCTTTGTTTTAACACGGTCTAAAGAACAGACTTAGGTGGAACTACAGCTGGTGGACCTGGTTTGTTGTATTTGCTGTTTCTGAGCGCGTTCTGACCGGTTCTGTTGTTTCAGAGACGGAGACGGGCTCCAGGACTCGCGGGACAACTGCCCCGACCTCCCGAACAGCGCTCAGCTCGACACCGACAATGACGGTCTGGGGGACGCCTGCGACCACGACGATGACAACGACGGCGTGTTGGACGACCATGACAACTGTCGACTCATCCCCAACCCCAACCAGAGAGACACGGACCGTAAGGGCTAAACCAGGACTAAACCAGGACCAGTGTTGGGGAGTAACGGATTACATGTACCGCCGTTACGTAATCAGAGTACAAATTATGAGTAATTGTATTCAGTTACAGTTACTGTTTCAATGAGTGGTAATTAGATTACTTTGCTGAAATAAGTGGATTACAAGGCGGTATTTTCCTGTTTTCACATTTTGTGCTACATCCCATTTATTTATTTTTTTATTTCGGTAATTTCACTCATTGCCGGAAACCCAAACAGAACGCGCGCAATAAGAGCGATGGAAACGTCATGTTAAAGTTGGCAGTGTCAGTCACACAGTGGAAGCAGCAGTGCATTGGTAAAAACGCATTTGTGTCTTGGAAATTCTTCTCCCGATGTGAGATATATATATAAAAAAAACAAATATAAAATCGCCTACAACTTAAATGTGAAACCGGAGCTACTGGCACTGGTGAAAACAACCTGCATAGACTCATAATATCTGCACTACTGTCCTATAGTGACCTGCCACATGGACGTGCCCACAAACACACACAAACACACACCTTCATCATCGTCATCAACCTGAGAACCCGCGGACCACGTCTCCTTCCGTAGTTACAGCGCGGACACCGCCGTCTCGTGCGCCGCGAGTGAACCGTGTTTTCTCGCGTAAACCGCACTTCCTCCTGTGCGCCTCTAAACCAGAACTAACACCAAGACTAAACCAGGACTAAACCAGGACTGAACCAGGACTAAAGCAGGACTGAACCAGGTTTAAACTAGGACTAAACCACGACTAAACCAGAACTAAAGACCTGAACTAGAATCAGGAGTAAACCAGGTCTAAAAATCAGGACTAAACCAGGACTAAACCAGGACTAAACCAGGTCTAAACAACATGACACCTAACAGTAGGTTGACATAATTTAAGGTGATCTCATATAAAAAATAATTTCTCTATCAATAATATTTTTAATATTAAGGAAAGACTGATCTTGTTACTGTCTTTTAACAGACAAAACCTCTTATATTAAGATATCGTGGTCTTTGTTTCTCTACAGCAAACAGTTGTTTATTCATGGAGACTTGGGCTCAGACAATTTGAAGACAACAAACAAGAATTTCAGGATGTGGTTGCTACATTCATGTCGATTAAAAAAACATGACAATATCAAGTAATCCAAAGTAATCAGATTACGTTACTCACTTTAAGTAATTTAATGGATTACGTTACAAACTACATTTTGGGATGTGTAATCTGTAATCTGTAGGGGATTACATTTTAAAAGTAACCTTCCCAACACTGACCAGGACTAAACCAGGACTAAACCAGCACTAAACCAGCACTAAACCAGCACTAAACCAGCACTAAACCAAGACTAAACTAGCACTAAACCAGGACTAACCCCAACCAGAGAGACATGGACCGTAAGGACTACACCAGGACTAATTCAGGACTAAACCAGGACTAAGCCAGGACTAAACCAGGACTAAACCCAACCAGAGAGACATGGACCATAAGGACTAAACCAGGACTAAACCAGCACTAAACCAAGACTAAACCAGCACTAAACCAGCACTAAACCAGGACTAACCCCAACCAGAGAGACACGGACCGTAAGTACTAAACCAGGACTAAACCAGGACTAAACCCAACCAGAGAGACATGGACCGTAAGGACTACACCAGGACTAATTCAGGACTAAACCAGGACTAAACCAGGACTAAGCCAGGACTAAGCCAGGACTAAACCAGGACTAAACCCAACCAGAGAGACATGGACCATAAGGACTAAACCAGGACTAAACCAGGACTAAACCAGGACTAAGCCAGGACTAAACCAGCACTAAACCAGCACTAAACCAGCACTAAACCAGCACTAAACCAAGACTAAACCAGCACTAAACCAGGACTAACCCCAACCAGAGAGACATGGACCGTAAGGACTACACCAGGACTAATTCAGGACTGAGCCAGGACTGAGCCCGGTCTAACCCGCTCTGTGTCTGTGTGTAGTGGACGGCGTGGGGGACGTGTGTGAGCTGGACTTCGATAATGACGCGGTGCAGGACGCGATCGACGCTTGTCCTGAAAACGCTGAGGTCACGCTCACCGACTTCAGAGCCTTTCAGACCGTCATCCTCGACCCCGAGGGAGACGCACAGATAGACCCCAACTGGGTGGTGCTCAACCAGGTCTGAACCAGGACTAGACCAGGACTAGACCAGGACTAGACCAGGTCTGAACCAGGACTCAACCAGGACTCAACCAGGACTCGACCAGGACTCAACCAGGACTCGACCAGGACTCGACCAGTGATGATCCCTCATTACTGTCATTACTGTTAATCGTGTTGTGTCTCAGGGGATGGAGATCGTGCAGACCATGAACAGTGACCCTGGACTCGCTGTGGGTGAGAAAACTCAGATGCCCTCCCCGTGTGTCAGATGCCCTCCCCGTGTGTCAGATGCCCTCCCCGTGTGTGTCAGATGCCCTCCCCGTGTGTCAGATGCCCGCCCCGTGTGTCAGATGCCCGCCCCGTGTGTCAGATGCCCTCCCTCCCCGTGTGTCAGATGCCCTCCCCCCGTGTGTCAGATGCCTCTCCCTCCCCGTGTGTCAGATGCCCTCCCTCCCGTGTGTCAGATGCCCTCCCCGTGTGTCAGATGCCCGCCCCGTGTGTCAGATGCCCGCCCCGTGTGTCAGATGCCCTCCCCGTGTGTCAGATGCCCGCCCCGTGTGTCAGATGCCCTCCTCCCCCGTGTGTCAGATGCCCTCCCTCCCCGTGTGTCAGATGCCCTCCCTCCCCGTGTGTCAGATGCCCTCCCCGTGTGTCAGATGCCCTCCCTCCCCGTGTGTCAGATGCCCGCCCCGTGTGTCAGATGCCCTCCCTCCCCGTGTGTCAGATGCCCGCCCCGTGTGTCAGATGCCCTCCCTCCCCGTGTGTCAGATGCCCTCTCCCCGTGTGTCAGATGCCCTCCCCGCCCCGTGTGTCAGATGCCCTCCCGCCCCGTGTGTCAGATGCCCTCCCCCGTGTGTCAGATGCCCTCCCCGTGTGTCAGATGCCTCCCGCCCCGTGTGTCAGATGCCCTCCCCGCGTGTCAGATGCCCTCCCCGTGTGTCAGATGCCCTCCCGCGTGTCAGATGCCCTCCCCGTGTGTCAGGTGCCCTCCCTCCCCGTGTGTCAGATGCCCTCCCGCCCCGTGTGTCAGGTGCCCTCCCTCCCCGTGTGTCAGTGTGTCCCCTCCCCGTGTGTCAGGTGCCCTCCCGCCCCGTGTGTCAGGTGCCCTCCCCGTGTGTCAGGTGCCCTCCCGCCCGTGTGTCAGTGCCTCCCCGTGTGTCAGATGCCCTCCTCCCCGTGTGTCAGGTGCCCTCCCTCCCTGTGTGTCAGATGCCCTCCCCGTGTGTCAGGTGCCCTCCCTCCCTGTGTGTCAGATGCCCTCCCTGTGTGTCAGATGCCCTCCCCGTGTGTCAGATGCCCTCCCTCCCCGTGTGTCAGATGCCCTCCCTCCCCGTGTGTCAGGTGCCCTCCCTGTGTGTCAGATGCCCTCCCTGTGTGTCAGATGCCCTCCCTGTGTGTCAGATGCCCTCCCCGTGTGTCAGATGCCCTCCCTCCCTGTGTGTCAGATGCCCTCCCTCCCTGTGTGTCAGATGCCCTCCCGTGTGTTCTCAGGTTACACAGCGTTTAATGGTGTGGACTTCGAGGGCACTTTCCACGTAAACACAGTCACTGATGATGACTACGCCGGCTTCATCTTCGGATACCAAGACTCCGCCTCTTTCTATGTGGTCATGTGGAAACAGACAGAGCAGACGTACTGGCAATCCGTGCCGTTCCGTGCCAACGCAGAGCCTGCTCTGCAACTCAAGGTATGAGGGGGAGGAGGGAGGAGAGGAGGAGGAGGTGCAGGGTAGAGGGAGAAGAGCAGGAGAGACATAGCCCTATCCCAGTGTGCTCTCTCTTGTCTGATTGGCTCTGTCCCCTCTCTGTCTCTGATTGGCTCTCTCACCTCTCTTCGGTTGGCTGTCTCTCACACTCTGGCCTCTGATTTCCTGTTTGACCCCCCTCTCTCTTCTGATTGGTCCTCAGGCGGTGAAGTCGGACACAGGCCCTGGGGAGTACCTGCGTAACGCCCTGTGGCACACAGGGGACACGACAGGACAGGTGCGGCTCCTGTGGAAGGACCCAAGGAACCAGGGCTGGAGGGACAAGACCTCGTACAGGTGGAGCCTGAGCCACCGACCACAAGTCGGGTACATCAGGTATGTACTACAAATACTGCTACTGCAAATTGCATAAATATATAGATATATATAGATAGACATATAGATAGACATATAGATATAGATAACTGGTAACTCATCCTGTTGATTCATTCTTGTTCATTCTTCATGTTTGGGAGCTTTAGCTGCTGGAATAAAACATAGTACATGGTCACTGTATACTTGTGTCATTGTGTCAAATGTGAATGTTCAAGATACAATTAAAAATTGAAAGAGCTTCAGAAAATACATATGTTTGGTACCATATGAAAGGTCTTTTTCATGGTCTTTCAAATAGAAATTATTTTAAAAACATTTGTATCACTACCCACATGCCATAAATGTCAAGTGAAAATCGGACCATGTTGCATTTTCTTGTTTTTAACAGGACAGGACTCACACATAACCTATTTCAAATTTTTTTTATAACAGTCCTAGTACATATCTTGATTCTCAAAAAAAATTTAAGGGTCTCTGACACCCGTAAATTGACACATACTCCCCTTACTGAATGAGCTGTAACTTAAAAAAGTATTGATCGAAAATTACTAAAACTTCACAGGGTTGGTACATGATAGTAAGAGACAATTTGGTATTTTTTTCAAAATTTTCTGAGATCAAAGTGCATGAGCCATTTGGTGAAATGGCGTGGAATGACCCTTCTGCATTTATGAAAAAAAAAAGGTATATTTCACGATACAAGTCAGTTATTCTCAACTCCATCAGAAGCACTAAAAGAAATCAAATCTGATTTATTCCTATCAAACACCACTGTGTCCAATTAAAGTGTATCTGAAAAAAAATGCTTGTATGAAACATATGAGTTTCATAAGATACAGTTTCAAAACATATTTTTCAATTTGAATGTTATAAAATGAATTTCTGTAAATAATCAACAGAAATCAGGCTGTAGATTTTTATGTCCTTTACCACGTAAAACCACAGAAACTGAATTGCCATATTCAAGATCCTTTAAAAAATGACAACACTCCAGATGCGTGGATCTGACCAAGTTGACTAAAAATGCCTGTTTTTCCCTCCATATATGCTTCACTGCAGCTAATTTCTAGAAACACCCTGTGTGAGCTGCCAGGACGACATCACTAAAAGCTTAAGGCCAAATTATTGTTCTGCATCGACTCATCGCACACTGCCACCGTCTACATCAAGGTTTATGCACCGCAAAGTAATTCACCTCCACAACACTAGGAGGCGAGGGTTTAAAAATGGCATTCATTTTTACAAAATGAAGTGGGAAAATGAAATACTGAAAATGTGTGTAGAGACGACCAATCACAGCCCTCACTGTCTGTGTGGCTTTCCCTGCTGTCTGCGTCGGTTCAACGAGTAGTTACAAAATTTTGGAGGTGCACATAGGTCGACGCAAACACTCTGCAGAGGGGGTTCACAGAAGATTTGATGACCAAAAATTGGGCTTTATGCTCTCCTGTGTTGGTTGTTTCCTTAAAGCTGTCACATGTTGCAGGCTCAGGCTGTTTGAGGGCTCACACCAGGTCGCAGACAGTGGGGTGCTCCTGGACTCCACCATGAGAGGAGGACGACTCGGAGTCTTCTGCTTCTCTCAGGAGAACATCATCTGGTCCAACCTGCGCTACCGCTGCAATGGTGAGTCCAGGACCAGGTTTAGTCCTGGTTTAGATTTGGTTTAATCCTGGTTTAGTTCTGGTTTAGTTCTGGTTTAGATTGGGTTTAGTCCTTGTTTAGTCCTGGATTAGACCTGGTTTAGTCTTGGTTTAGTCTTGGTTTAGACCTGGTTTAGTCTTGGTTTAGTCTTGGTTTAGACCTGGTTTAGTCTTGGTTTAGTCTTGGTTTAGACCTGGTTTAGTCTTGGTTTAGATTTGGTTTAGTTCTGGTTTAGATTGGGTTTAGTCCCTGTTTAGTCCTGGATTAGACCTGGTTTAGTCTTGGTTTAGTCTTGGTTTAGACCTGGTTTAGTCTTGGTTTAGTCTTGGTTTAGACCTGGTTTAGTCTTGGTTTAGTCTTGGTTTAGACCTGGTTTAGTCTTGGTTTAGATTTGGTTTAGTTCTGGTTTAGTCCTGATTTAATCCTGGTTTAGATTTGGTTTAGTCCTTGTTTACTCCTGGTTTAAAAGTCTGTGTTCTTGTTTTTCAGACACAATTCCTGAGGATTTCCAGATTCATCGGAAACAAGTCCTGATGCACATCAAAGTCTGACCGATGTCCAGGTCTGAACCAGGATCAGAGCCTTTAGTCCCTGTGTTTCTTTGGCTCACACAGACAGTTCTCACGAGTGTCTCTGAGAAGACTCGCTCGACACTGATCCAAGTCTCTGTAAATAAAATCTGTTTTTGTTTCTGATTCAAACATTAAAGTGTTTCTACAGTGAGCCGCTCCCGAGGCTCTGCACCAAGGTCTATGTAAAAAGAATGTTTTGATAAATAAACGTCTGTCCACACGACAGGTGAATGTCTCTGTCCACTCGACAGGTGAAGTGTCTGTCCACACGACAGGTGAATGTCTCTGTCCACACGACAGGTGAATGTCTCTGTCCACTCGACAGGTGAATGTCTCTGTCCACTCAACAGGTGAATGTCTCTGTCCACTCGACAGGTGAATGTCTCTGTCCACTCGACAGGTGAATGTCTCTGTCCACTCAACAGGTGAATGTCTCTGTCCACTCAACAGGTGAATGTCTCTGTCCACTCAACAGGTGAAGTGTCTCTGTCCACTCGACAGGTGAAGTGTTGTACAGTGTGAGTGGTGTGTGTTGCACACAGGGTCCATACACTCTTTATATAAATGCACATAAAATCCTGCTAAGTCAGCACATTCCAAACAGGAAGTGAGCACGGGGGGGCAGTGGTTCCTTCGACTTCTGGTTGCAACTGACTTCTACATGTTGGTTTGAACATGCCCTAGATGATTGCTAAGTGCCCACCCCCTGCGAAACCAGCAGTGCCTCTCTCCTGATTGGCTTTTGGTTTTGCGCTCGGATTCCCAAACATAGTCCTGGTTGCAGAGTAGCCACTATAACTGCTAGCCCTGATGAGCTTCATTTGGCCCCGAAGCTGTGTGTGAGGCTATACTCACACTATCCAGATCATTGCAGGACCAGAGGCAGGGCAGGCCACAAACTGAGGGTGACAACCTGAAAGGAAGAGCCCCTGTGTTTTAAAGCAGGAGGCCTTGACCTGAGGCGTGACCTGAGGCGTGACCTGAGGCGTGACCTGAGGCGTGACCTGAGGCGTGACCTGAGGCGTGACCTGAGGCGTGACCTGAGGCGTGAGGGCATAGTAAGTCTCACATGTCTTTGGGCACCTGTCCGTTTAGAGTTAAAACCATAATTTTAAAATCAACACAGAATTGAAGATGAAGCCCGTGTAGTGAAGAGCACATGACTGTGTGTGTGGTTAAAAACCTCACTGCAGCTGTTCAAGTGTGGAGCCCAGAAAATAAGTCAAAACAAAACCATTTTGTCATAACTAACATCACTTTTAAAACTGACAGACAGACAAGAATGATTAAACTACAGGGACATGGGAGGCAGGGAAGTGTCCCTGTCCAGTCACACATATTTATTTATTTACTTGAGACAGGGACAGTGCAAAATTTTTGCATTTACCGTGACAGGACAGATGCATTGTACATCAGGTTGTAGCATCAGTGCAAATTTTCACCTGTCGTCTCTGGACAAGTTCATTGATTGATTGTATTTAACTGACCTTGACTATCAACTGTTCTGGAGACCTGGAGCATGTTTTGGGTTGCAGGTGCAGTGTCCCTGTCCAGCTGTCCAGTCACACACACAGGTGCGGTGTCCCTGTCCAGTCACACACACAGGTGCGGTGTCCCTGTCCAGTCACACATACAGGTGCGGTGTCCCTCAGTGTCCACCCGGGGGCAGATAAAGCAGAAGTGTGCTGGGTGATTCAGGGTCATTTTTTCTGGCGTCAGCAGATTCTCCATGACTCAGACAAACTCAGACATGATTCTGGAGGACCCCCTTGAAAACGAGATGGCGACACATCTCAAGGGGCTTATCCTCCAAACAAATACATTCAAATTCAACAAAAGAAAAATAATATTATGATGAGGCAAAGTGACATACATATATTTGACCCCAGTGACTGTAGGATTAAACCAGGACTAAACCTGGATTAAACCTGGACTAAACCAGGACTAAACCAGAAATAATCAAGAACTAAACCAGGATTAAACTAGAAAAGCACTCAGAGAGTGCAGACCTCCGCCAAGGACTACAGTCCCCCTCATATTAATTGTGTTTTCCATAAATATTTGTCTCGTATCTTTCAATTTGGAATATGAAAGAGGATCCCATTGTCCATCCCTGAGTCAAATTTCATGGGGTTTGGTCAATAATTAACCAAGATATTGAGAAACAAAATTTTTGGCCCCATTTACCACAATGTTAACTAAAATTTCAAAGTGATCCAGAATCCAGGATTTCTTCCGGATCAGCCCCAAAATGAAATCAGTTCTTCCTTTTCACATTTCCAACAAATCCTGAAAATTTCATCAAAATCGGTCCATAATTTTTGAGTTATGTTGCTAACAGACAAACAAACAAACAGACAAACGCCGGCAAAAACATAACCTCCTTGGCGGAGGTAACAAGGACTAAGCTAGGATGCAAAGACTGCACTTTGGTTTAGTCCTGGTTTAGTCCTGGTCCGTTTATAGATGTGCACAGTTGTGATGTGCTGCTGAGTGCTCTCGTTTAAGTGCTGTTTCTTATTCACAAATTACAAATTAATTATTGTAATTTTACTCCAAAATGATTCATATCTGTGTCAACATTGTCACATTTTAATTTGACCATTTTGACATTTCTAAATCTTGACATTGTGTGTACAATCCCTCAGTCGTCCAGGTACAATCCACAAATCTTCACATTGACATTTTTAGTATAAGAAATAAATATGCTATTTTTTAGTTTTAATGTTTTGTAATGCTCATGATGAGATTAGATCAGCAGCAGCACTTAGGGTTTTCCAGACATTGCTAAGATTTAAAATGTAAACTCAAATAGTCAAATAATCATGAGTCATGAGTGAAAGCCTGATTTAGTCTATTTGTGAAACTTTAGCACTTCTTGAGAAGGGATGCGGAATTTGGCTTACTTTGAAAATGCCATTCATGCATTTGTGACATCATGTCTTGATTATTGTAACTGTGTGTTTGCTGCATTGACCAGGCCCAGCTCAGCTGCCTACAGGGTCCAGAACGCAGCAGCTCCTTTAACTGGAAAAAAGTGGTGGGACCACAGCACTGCTGTTCTTAAATCTCTGAACTGACTCCCTCTACATTTTAAAATCCATTTTTTAAGATTCTTAATGGCACCTTCCTATTTACAGACGTGGACAAAATAGTTGATACCCCTCTGGCAATGAAAGAAAAATCAACAATCATCATTGTTTTTCACTTGTGATTCAAAAGAATCATTAGAAAAAACAAAATAATGAAACTGGCCTGGACAAAAATGATGTTACCCTTAACTTAACATTTTGTTGCAAACCTTTTAAGGCAAACTCTGCAAACAAACGATTTCTGTAACTGTCAGTGAGACTTCTGCTCTGGTCAACAGGTATTTTGACCCATTTCTCATGAGCAAACTGTTCTAGTTGTCTCAGGTTTGAAGGTCCCTTCTCCAGATGCATGTTTCAGCTCATTTCACAGATGCTCAGTAGAATTGAGATCTGGGCTCACAGAAGAACACTCCAGAACAGTCCAGTGTTCTGTTCTTAGTCATTCTTGTGTGTCTTTATCTGTGTGTTTTGGGTCATTATCCGGTTGGAAGACTCATGACCTACGACTGAGACCGAGCTTTCTGACACTAGGCAACACATTTCATTCCAAAATACCTTGATAGTTTTGAGATTTCGTTGTACCTTGCACAGATTCAAGACACTCTGTGCCAGATGCAGCAAAACAGCCCCAAAAGAAAACCAAACCTCCTCTGTGCTTCACAGTAGGAACAGTGTTCTTTTCTTGGTCTGCTTCATTACTGCATCTGTGAACATAGAGCTGATGTGTCTTGCCAAAGAGCTCAGGTTTTGTCTCATCTGTCCAAAGGACATTCTCCCAGAAGCTTTGTGACTTGTCAATCTGCATTGTGACAAATTCCAGTCTCACTTTTTTATGATTTTCTCTCAGCAGTGGTGTCCTCACATGAAGCCCACTTTGGCTCAAACACTGATGGATGGTGTGATCTGACACTGTACTTTGCCCTTCGTGTTCACATTTAATTTGTTTAGAGGTTGTTCTGGGCTCTTTGGTTATTAGTAGGATCCATGTCTTTGTCATCAATTTTCGTCTCACATCCAGGGAGGTTGGCTTCAGTCCTGTGGACCTCAAACTTGTGAAGAACATGTGTAACTGTAATCACAGGAACATCAAGCTGCTTGGAGATGGTCTTATTGTCTTTATCTTTAACCTGCTTGTCTTTCATTTTCTTTCTAGTCTCCTGACACAGTTCTCTTCTTCTCTTTCTCTGGTCCATGTTCAGTGTTGTGTCCATCATGTCTCCAAACAGCACAATGACACATGTCCTCCTTTAAACAGACACACTGACTGAGGACAAGTTTGAAGAACCTGTGATGCAGATTAGAGACACACCGAAGTTTAACATGTCCCTGTTGTCCACTTACTTACCATCTTTTCTAGAGGTACCATCATTTTTGTCCAGGCCAGTTTCATTAGTTTGTTTTTTAAAATAATTCTGCTGAACAATTCAAAAACAGTGCACCTCAGGAGGAGGAAGCAGTTCTTCACCAACAATGTTTACAGTGCGGGGGGAGAGCTGTTGACCTCAACTGGGGACGTTGTCCGGTGGTGGAAGGAATACTTTGAGGATCTCCTCAATCCCACCGTCACGTCTTCCGAAGAGGAAGCTGAGGCTGGGGACTCGGAGGAGGACTCGTCCATCACCCTGGCTGAAGTCACTGAGGTGGTTGGCAAGATCCTTGGTGGTAAGGCTCCGGGGGTGGATGAGATCCGTCCTGAGTATCTTAAGTCTCTGGATGTTGTGGGGCTGTCTTGGCTGACACGCCTCTTCAACATCTCGTGGCGGACGGGGACAGTACATCTGGACTGGCAAACCGGGGTGGTGGCCCCTCTGTATAAGAAGGAGGACCGGAGGGTGTGTTCCAATTACAGGGGAATCACACTTCTCAGCCTTCCCGGTAAGGTCTATGCCAGGGTACTGGAGAGGAGAATCCGTCCGATAGTCGAATCTTGGATCCAGGAGGAGCAATGTGGTTTTCATCTCGGTCGTGGAACACTGGACCAGCTCTACACTCTCCATCGGGTGCTCGAGGGTTCATGGGAGTTTGCCCAACCAGTCCACATGTGCTTTGTAGATCTGGAGAAGGCATTCGACCGTGTCCCTCGTGGTGTCCTGTGGGGGGTGCTCTGGGAGTCTGGGGTCCGGGGTCCTTTGCTAAGGGCTGT